CGACCATTTTAAGTATAAAACAATGGTATCCCTCTGAGCACCCGGCACACAAGTAAACACCCCTCTCCGGCGTCTCTTTGGGACTCGCCCCGGGATTTCAACTTTAATCCCGAGTTTACTCACCCTCCAATAAAACCCTATTCTCCCATTTAAGCCCTCACGAATGTTTCCAAATACCCTATTTTGGGAACCTAGGCCCTCTTCCGGTAATGCCACACTTAGATCGAAATGTCGACCCAAGGTAAACGGCTCCTTTGAATTTTTCAAAGCTCGGGTTTATTCCAGGGGAACCAGCAAGCGGAAGGACGATAAGAGTGTTAAAAAGTTTTCATCCCCTTAGACCTGATTGGATCACTCGGCCTGCTAATTTGTATAACGCAACGAACATAGTTTATTATACTAAAATGGTTTATGGCTATGCACCTGTGAAAATTGCATTTGCTAAAACTGCTCATATCGATTACAAAAAATACCCTTGGGCACCTCGGCAAGAAAGACAATGGAATAAAAGACCGAACACTGCAGAACATTTCCAAGAAGAAGAACAAGTCAACTTAGCAATATTCGGTCATAAGTTGTTACATGATGCTCGAAAGATTACAAAAGATGAACGGTCCAAAGTTCGTGAAATGTTATCTAAAGTAAGAACAGATACACAAAACGACGTGCAATACATAGTCGGAGACCCTGTTTATCGACTACGACAGAAGAATAAGAAACATGAACCCACATGGGATGGTCCCTATACAATTTCACAACAAGTTGGAAACCACACATATAAGATTAAAACCAAAAACGGAAAGGAAAGCAAATATACTAACCATAGTACAAAGCTAAGACCGGCTTATGCAGAGCAAGGCTCAGCTATCCGAACGGCAGCAGAGTACACTAGAGTCTACAACGATCAGGAACGAAAATATTACATCAAGACACTAGAAGATATTATAAATGACAAGGTTTTCAATTGACTTAACCGAAACCTTCCTTGAAGCCGCCGATATTGTATTGATTCCACGTTAGTACAAGATGACAGGAATAAGGAAAGAGGATCTGTCATGATTGTTAAAAGGAATGACGCTAATAGATAACTGACATGACGTATATAAAGGGCATAGTTCCTGAAGTAAAGATATACACTTTTGTTATTAAACAGAAGACCATAGAAATCCTTATATATTTAATACTACTGTATAGTTATTATAATAGTTAATTAACCTCATAGAGCTTATAACTAGTAACCTTAAGTATTTACTTCTACGGCTTGTTTCCCTAGATAAATACTTAATACATTGATATTCAATATTCCGGATCAAACAATACACAATGTTTTGTGATATTACTAAATAATAGATCAATGTAAAAACCTGATTAAAACAACAGGTTAAGCGCAAGTGGTTTAGTGGTAAAATCCAACGTTGCCATCGTTGGGCCCCCGGTTCGATTCCGGGCTTGCGCATTTATTTTTAAACATATGTAACATAGCTTGTTCACTAAACAAGTACAAAATTATTTCTATATGTGTTTAATATTTCAGGGTCTTTTTTTTTAAGAAAAAAACATAATTACTTTAGTCGAAATTCTAATCAATTCATTTCTTAAGTTGTTGCTATTAATTTCTTAGATGGTTTTCCTTATTGGTTAATTGCCAAGACTGTGAAACATTTAAAACCCGAATAGCAAATAATTTCATCAATACAAAAAAATGCGTCACAAATATAATTGCAAACTTGAATTATTTCTTGTTTAAAGCAAATTAGTTTGAATTAAAATTTATATTTCTGGGTCCCAGTATGGCTTTAGTTAGCTTATTTGTTATTCTGTCATGAATCCTAAGGAATGATTAAATTGTAAAACTTGCCAATGATTTTAATATCCTTAATAATTTTCAAGTAAAAGCAAAGACCCTTTTTGGATGATCTCATTCAAGATGCTCCAAAATTTAGGCATTATTAATTTACAATTTACAATTATTTTTGTTTCCATAGTTAAGATTGTCCCTATTATGATCTAGACAAAGGGATAACATTATGATGGGAGGGAATAAATGGCAAACAGCAAAGGAAAATCGGTATAGACATTATTCAAAATTTTAGCAAAGTTCAAAGAACTTTATGGTAATTCATTATTTGGATAAAATACTAGTCTTTACTAAAATATTAATACGATCTTACCATACTGTGGAAATCCAATGACGTAATTTTAATTTACTGGTTATAGGTACCTAAACTCATTTCCCTATCTCGGCTTTTATCTCTCATAGTAACCATGAAATACCCATGGCAAGAGGATATTTTAATTGTAGACCATTTTTAGTTTATTCAAGTATCTAAAAAATTCTAATATATTGTTTCTCCCTCTTTACCCTTTTTATTTACCTTCTCTTAAATCACACTATCTGCATTATAGTCGGAAGAATAGTTGAGTTTAAAGTCTAATTTAAAGGGTTAGAAATCAGGGACAGAAAGAAAACTTTTAAAACAGGGTTTTCAAAAAGAATTTGAAACGTAATTTCTTGAGATATCTTTCTATTATTTAATATATATAAAGAAATATTATCTCTCCAATCTGAATATTTTTATACCTCTTCTCTAAAAATATTTTCCTAGTTAATTTTCCAATTTTTTTTGTCGTTCAAACTTTATATATACTAATCGAAATAAAAATATCCAGTCGCTTTTATATTGTTCTTTTTTAATTACTGTCGTTCATATTAACTAGTTAACTCTAATTTTGTGTTGAAGGTTTCTTTGTGTTATTCGACCTTTGTTTGACTTCAAATACTTTGACTATCAAAGCATTCGTTATCATTAATAATACCCCTTCTATACTACAGGTTCAGGAAGTAAACTCTCTATTATACTTCCAAATATCATTTACTATAACTAACCTTTGATCTTTTCTTTTTTTTAAATTTGATCTTTTTTATTTTCTGACATCTATAATAATTATCTGGTTTTATTCTTAACACAAGATTTATTGCTGGTAAACCAAAACCAAAAAGTTTTATAAAAAACAGTATAATAAATTAGAACACTTTGTTCTAAATTTCAGTTTGGTTAATAATTAACATTTTTGTTAATTATTGAACTGTCATCTTAATTTAATTTAACGTTTTGATATATCAACTGTAATAAAATAATATTTTTAAAACCCTGTCATTTGCTAAATATTATTGTTTCGCTACTAATTCTACAGATTAATAAAACAAATATGGCATTGAGTCAAACAATTATCCAACCAATCGTCCCATCTCACCAAGAGTTAAACCCCGAAGTGGGAGTCGAATTAAATAATGAGGTTCAACAAAATTTTCAAAATTTACAAAACAATAGTTATGTATACTCAGCTATATCTAACTATAAACAGGAAAACAGATATTTAGCGCAATTGAGAAATATTTCTTTGGAATTGAATTCATTATTGACGCTTTATATTAATGAAGCTATTTCATTTAAACCACAATTATGCCAAGAGGTGCCCTCTTGTAATTATGCCAGCTTGAAAAGTCAGTTTATTGATTTTACCGGAACTACAATCAGAAGAAATAAATCAAAATTATATTATCTGCCAACAAATATGTGTGATGAGATACAACAATTAAATCCTTCTATACCTACAAATGCAAAAAATGACTTCAATACAATTTATAATAAAAAGAGAGCGCCAATTAATAATGCCAAAATTAACTATTATAAGAATAGATTAATTACTGAATTAGATTATGAAAATCTAGACAGAGTGGAAATTGCTTGTTTTTTTATTGCTTTCAGTGCTTTGAATTCCTATCTCTACTTGGAAACTGATGAAAATATCACCGAGGATAATAATAAGCATTCAAGAACTAATGTCCAAAATGGAATTGATGAAGATCAAAAATCAAAATCAAAATCTAGGAAACTTAAGGGTAAAAATAGTCATTCAAGTTCAAGCAGAAATTCAACGAATGAAACAAATGAAAATTATGATGATGAATTTTTATCTTCATTTGATGGCGTCAAGAATTGTATAAAAAAAGGTTATATAATAGGTTTCAGGGAATTAGGGTTCTTAGTTGGAATTACACCTTGGCATTTCCATAGGGTCTTCAAAACTGTCACAGGGGTAACAATTAGAGAATATGGTCAATTATGTGTCGATTTTATTAAACTAAATGAAAAACTAATAAACGATTATAAGTTGAAGATGAACGATCTAAAACTTCGATACCTTGCCAGTTCTTCAACAGCCATTGATGAAATCAAAAGTTTCTTATTTTATCCAATTGATTATGTCACTGAGCTAAATTTTTTCCATGTTGTTGAATGCTTTAAGAGTGACATCTCCCAAGTGTATAAAAATTTTATTACATTGGTGAGACTCAACACTTTTGAAAATACGGTAAACGTTAACTTAATAAATAATAATATTCAAACTATATTTGACACTGAATATTTCATTGATCCAACGAAATCAAAAGAATTCAAAAAATCAAAGCTAGAGAGATCAAAACAGTCACCAGATTGCGACGGCTCCTCTACGGTGTATCAGGAAAGTTCTCATAATAAAAAAACTAGGCTAAATAACGAAGTCAGAAAACAAAGAAGTCTGGTAATGAATGGTAGAATCAAAGTTGCATTCGATACTCTTTTAAATTTGAGGGATATTTTCAGTTTCTTATCTATCAATAATGTCAGCGACGAAATTCCAAATTTTAATCAAGAATTCAATTTTGCTCCTGTTACAAATGGAATGAACACAGGAAACTTCACTAACACAGCACCAAGTTTACCAGAGGCATTCAATGAAACAGATCCTTCAGATGGATCCAATAAATATGCTTTGGATACTACATCCTTGGAGTCACCATGCTTTGAATCTTTCCCACCATCTGAAGAGTTACACGATCTCTCTTCAAGCCCTTATACTTATAATAGCTTAAAGACCAATAATATCAAAAACCAACTCCATGCTTCCTCTTCTTCAAGTTTACTGGCAACTCCTAAAAAGAGTAATGGAAAAGTGACCAAGAGAAAGTGTCAATCAGCTGGAAATACTAATGGGGTTCTTTACAACCAAATGCAAAAGAACAGTTTTGAAAGAAAAAAATCAAGTGTTGTCTCAAGTCCAATTAGAATTAAAGAAGAAGAATTGTCCGATGAGCAATGTGCAAGAGATATTATTAATAATTTCTCATTAGATCAAAAATTCTTTAACCTCAACAATCTTGACGATGATTTATTGGTTAAGCCAATCGAGAAGAATATAACTGAAGATAATGATCAAAGTCTCCAAACAAGAAAGGACCAAGGGAATAATGAAGTACAAAATTGTAATGAGAGCTTCGAGAGTAAAAATATAACATTAACCTCAGCTGAAGATCTAGGTCCTATTTTATCTCTATCTAGTGAAAACTCCGCTTCATTTGATTGTCTTAACAATGTCAATGACTTGGGAGAGTTAACGTTAGATAATGATTTATTATTGAACAATTTCAATTTGAACCAATTTGAAAATGATCTAAGCTATTCCAACGATTTTGAGTACCCCTTTGGCAATGATTCAAATGAGTAGATATCTTGGTTTTCATTACATAAGTCAAAGATTAGCAACCAACCTTTTCCAAATCCGCACTGACATACTAGATAAGATGTTAAAAAATCAAAATAGCAAGATAAAACAGGATATAATGAACGTTGTTCTGTATCCATTGTGCCATATTTTATTTTATATTCATCTCATAGTGAACCACTATGATACCGAAGTAAAAAGTTTAATAAAATCATAATAGTTTTTTCCAGTAGTAGATTAAACATATGAACTTTCAAAAAAAATATTATAATATTTATATACATGTACACACAAATAACTTATATATATATATATATATGTATAAATATATGAATATATATGTTAAGTCTCCTATTCTTTATTGCAGTGTCTGACAGAAATTAATTACCAAAAAGGGGCCTTATAACACTTTGGAATATAGAGTTTCTAAACAAACCTTTTTAAGGTGTAACAAGAATAACAAAAGTTTATTTAAATAACTAATTGGCAAACACCAAATTGACCATCCCCTCCCTTTGTACTCAACCTGGCCTCTTATTAATCACTAATTAAGCAAGCCTTCAACATTAATGATGTTTTGAAAAGTAGCATATATTGTTAGAGAAAAGGAGAATGTTCACAAGGAGTTTATGGTTATTAATTGAAAGTGCTTTCATCTTACTGACACCTTAACATTTCTTTTTCACAGATTTCAAGTGGTCCAGTCGAAGGAATAAAAGAAAAAAGTCACTAATATTAGCAGCCCCTTCTTAACTCCTAAAAAAAATTCAATAGGTTTCCAATTATCAACTATGAAAGAAATTACAGCAATTGAATAATTCTTTTTTTTTTATCATTGACATACATAGAATCAGACTTTTCCTTTTCACTTCCTACACTTTCCTTTTTCTACAATTGAGTATATTTTAATCCATTCTCAATCTTTTAAGAGAATAACCTCCCTAGACAAAATACACAACTTGACGAACAAGTATCATTGATCTTGCAAAAAAATACCCACAATTTATTAAAAATACTACTCCTCTTTTGCAAACTTTCAACAATCAAACCTTACTCTTCTCTTCCTCTTTAAACCAACCTAAATACTAAATTGGTCATTTATTACTACTGTTACTGTTGCACTCATCAGGATTGTAGTTTTGTTTCGAAACAGCTTTATCCAATTTTCAACCACTTTTAGAACCGTCTCACCCGCATCAACCATATATTTCTTCTACACTGTTTTCTCAACTGTAGATTCCAATTCTAAGCTTTTTTCGATTCGAACAAACAACCTATCCACCAGCAGAAGTACAAGTACCAGTACATGTACCACAAGGCAACGCAACGCAACGTAACGTAACGTTAGCTTAGGCAAGATAAGATATAGATCAGATTGTGACCTGCCCCTAAACAATGAAGTTTAACAAGAGAATGAAATCATATTAGCAAGTAAAATTTACGCCATTGAGAATCAATTGAGATAATTTAATTTTTAGTTTTCATTCAAGTATCTCCTTCTTACAGCAAAATCTATTCATGATTTGGGGGGTGGGTCAAATCTGTTTAATATATATTGTACCTTAAATATCTTGGGAAGCCCTACCTATGTGCTCGAGTTTCTTTCATCTTCTTTTTTTCCACTTTGAAACTGATCCGTCTAAGATTTTGCTAACTTAAGACCTTGAAAATCATACAAGTAGAGTTCCATCTACTAACCTCTTGATGACCCTCATCGGTTTGTTTGCATTTAAACTTTATAAACAGTATCAGTTTGCTTTCCCTCCCCCAGGATCTCTTGTCTTTCAAACTTCCCTAATGTCTCTGACACTCTCACAGATATATTTTGAGATATATGCAACTGTTGAAATTCTCTATATCTGAAATTAAAATATTAACTGTGAGGAGCCTACTTGCTTGGCTAAAATTATTTCGGAGATCTTCTTGTCAATGAATTGCTCTTATTCTATTCATTTCATTCGAGTACTTTTCAGTTCAATTCAATAGCAACACATTGATTGTGTTTGTCATTTATATTTTATATTACAATGCATTCTCATAGCAGTTTTCATTGAGTTCCCATAGCAGATATCCCAAACTACATTTGTTACCAATTAGTTTAATGAGGATTCTTAAGAGTACCGAAGTATTCTTTATCTACTCGAGGAAGGTTTCAATGTTATAAGATGTTGTATATATTTATTTATTTACCAATTATTATTTCTTTTTGGTCTTCGTAGTTTTTCAATGCTTGAACTTTCGAGTTGATTTGTTAAATTTTGTTGCGCCATCACATTTATTGGTTCTCTAGTTTCTTTGTATGAAGAAGAACGGATATCATTACCCTTTAATATATTCAATTGATTGTCTGAACTGTAGCAAGACTCATGTAGATATCGTTATTTTCATTTTTTCTTCTTCTACTCATTAGTAGTTGAACACTCACCAAATTAAATGTTGGTGTCACTCTCTGTAAAATTTGCAATAAAAGTATATATATAAATAACTGTAACTCAGATAATGATTTTTAATATCGACATACTGGAGAATATTCATACATAAGTTTATAAAAGCAGTATCATATTATCCAATACTTCATTTGTTTTTAACATTCAATACTACGTTGATCAATTGTATACGTCAGTTAGATAGAGTTAGAAGCAGTCTATTTTTGAGAGTATCTGTTCACACATAGTTTCCACTATAAAAACATAATAAGGACTGTTACGTTAATAAATTCAAATCAGTTAAAGTAACAGCTATAACACTATGGGTAGAGATATTCAAAATCATCTACTTTTCGAGGTAGCTACAGAAGTTGCTAATAGAGTCGGTGGTATTTACTCAGTTCTAAAATCAAAGGCACCAACTGCTGTCGCACAATATGGTGACAATTATACCTTAGTTGGACCTTTGAACAGAAGTTCTTACCAAAGTGAAGTTGAAGAATTGGATATAAATGATCCTAATACCTTCCCAGAAGATATTTTACCTATTAAATATGTATTGGAATCAATGAGAGCTAGAGGTGTCCATTTCGTCTACGGTCGTTGGTTGATTGAAGGAGCTCCTCGTGTCATCTTGTTTGAATTAGGTTCCGTTGGTCATTATTTAAATGATTGGAAGGGTGATTTATGGTCCTTGGTTGGTATTCCTTCTCCAGAAAATGATGCCGAAACTAATGATGCCATTTTACTTGGTTATACTGTTGCTTGGTTTTTAGGCGAACTAACTACAAAGGATAACAATCATGCAATTGTGACACATTGTCACGAATGGTTAGCCGGTGTTGCCCTTCCTTTATGTAGAAAGAGACGTATTGATGTTGTAACAATCTTTACCACTCATGCAACTTTATTGGGTAGATACCTATGTGCTTCAGGTAGTGTTGATTTCTATAATAACCTAGATAAATTTGACGTCGACCATGAAGCTGGTAAATACGGTATCTATCATAGATATTGTATTGAACGTGCTGCCGCACATACTGCCGATGTCTTCACCACTGTATCTCAAATTACAGCATTGGAGGCAGAACATTTATTAAAACGTAAACCTGATGGTATTTTACCAAATGGTATCAATGTCACTAAGTTCCAAGCTGTCCACGAATTCCAAAACTTACATGCATTGAAAAAGGCAAAGATTAATGATTTTGTCAGAGGTCATTTCCATGGCTGCTTTGACTTCGATTTAGATGAGACATTGTACTTTTTTATTGCTGGTAGATATGAATATAAAAATAAAGGTGCTGATATGTTTATAGAAGCTTTAGCCAGGTTAAATTACAGGTTAAAAGTTTCAGGCTCTAAAAAAACTGTAGTTGCTTTTATCATTATGCCAGCAAAGACAAACTCATTTACTGTTGAAGCTTTAAGAAGTCAAGCTGTCGTGAAAGCCTTGGAATCTTCGGTAAAGGAAGTGACACATTTGATTGGAGAAAGAATTTTCGATCATGCTATCAAGTATCCACATTTGGGGATAACTTCAGAATTACCAACCAATTTAGATGATATTATAAAACCTTCTGACAAGGTTTTATTGAAAAGACGTGTTCTTGCTCTAAGAAGATCTGATGGTCAATTACCACCAATCGTGACGCATAATATGGCTGACGACTCTCACGACCCTATTCTTAATCAAATAAGACATGTACAATTGTTTAATAATGCTTCTGATAGAGTCAAAGTTATCTTCCATCCTGAATTTCTAAACGCCAATAACCCAATTTTAGGTCTAGATTATGATGAATTTGTTCGTGGTTGTCACCTAGGTGTGTTCCCTTCATATTATGAACCTTGGGGTTATACTCCAGCTGAATGTACTGTTATGGGTGTCCCATCTATTACTACCAATCTTTCAGGATTTGGTGCTTATATGGAAGATTTAATTGAAACTGATCAAGCTAAAGACTATGGTATTTATATTGTTGATCGTCGTTTCAAAAATCCAGAAGAATCAGTTGAACAATTAGTAGATATGATGGAAGAATTTGTCAAGAAGAATAGAAGACAAAGAATCAACCAAAGAAATAGAACCGAACGTCTTTCTGATTTATTAGATTGGAGAAGAATGGGTTTAGAATATGTTAAAGCAAGACAACTAGCTCTACGCAGAGGTTATCCTGATATATTTAGACAATTTACTAATGGGGAAGATGTCAATGACAGCAATATGTATACAATGGCAGGCAATAAAAAATTTAAAATTATGAAACCAATTAGTGTACCGGGCTCACCAAGTGAGTCTAGACTAAGATCAGGAAGTGTCACAACCCCAACAGTTTATATGACTCCAGGTGATTTGGGTACTTTACAAGAAGCAAACAACGCTGATGATTATTTCATGTTAGCAAATGACCAAGAGGATTATGAAGATAACAATGAATAAATAGATCAATGAATATTTTGTTTGTCTTATTTAATAGTTGATTTTAAAAACAAAATTGTATAGTTAAAGTTTGTTCTTTCGAATAATTAATAGTCAATATTAATATTTTATTTACAATCTATCTATTGACAAAAGTAAGAGAATCTATAATATTTGGTACATAACTAATTTCTAAATAGTATTGAAAGTTAAAAGATATTTGCTTATATAGTATGGAGTGGATTTGGTCATCTATTATGGTACATTCTTACTTGTCAACCTTCTCCTAAATCTTTCTTCTCTTGTTTCTGTCTTCTGTCTTTTCACAGTTTTTTCGTATTCTTGATCAGTATTATCAAATGCAAGATCTTCCTCATCAAAATATTCTTCATTATAAGTTTCTTCGTCCGATTTACTATGCACTTCTTCCTTCTGTGACAATATTTCTTCATCACTTCCTCCACCATTATTATAATACTTATTAGTAGTGATATCACGTCTTTGGGATCTTCTTAAAGTTCTGCTTGTTAGTTGAACATCAGCAAACTCTGAAGCTAATATTTCCAATTGCCTGAATATACTGTATAACCCATTTAGATAATCTCTCAATATCTCTATGCGATAAATTAATATTTCTAGTTTAAAGTCATCTTGGTTAATCTTTGATGCTTTGACATCTGACTTATAACCAGATATCTGCTTTTCTAAAGTTTGAATAAAATTTTTTAATGTCTCGCTATTATTAGCTATTTCATACCAATAGGTTTTATCTGAAGTAGAATTATTTATCAAATCATTAACAACACCGTATGTGTCATAGAAAAATAATCTAAAGTCTTTTGAATTAGATTCCTTCATATGCTTTAAGAGAGAATTTGTTTCAGTATTATCCTTTGAGAACCTTTTAAATAATTTGTTCAAATTCCTAATATCTTTATAAAGAGATAATGGTGAATTTCTATCAAAGTAAGTTGACATTATAGGTACATAAAAATCCCCCACGCTAGGCATTCTTCCAACAAAGAATTCACTTTCTCTGATTTTATACAGCTCATCTTCAAATGGAGAGCTTAATGGATTATCATTAATATCGCCTTCAAATATTTCAATCCATTTATTATACAATGATACTGATGTTTTTTGTTTTTCTTCCTTTGGGCATACTTTTAAAATATCCTGTATTTCTTTTAGTACTATCATTTTTCTTTCTAGCTCTTCCTTCTTTGCGGCATCGAGTTGACCCTTCTGTCCTTTTCTTTTATGCTTTCTTTCATATCTTTTGATAAACAGGGAACATAGTTTTTCAAACTGTAAGTATGTCAATTCGACACCATCTATCAAAAATCTACTAGCATGCTGGGTTGGAACACCAAATGCTGGCTCTTTTTTGAAATGAGTTAGACGATAAATTTCATTATGAATCTTTGGGGAGTGAGCGGTACACCAATCAACCATTGCTCTTAGTAAAATAATTCTTTCTCTTGGCTCTAATCCCAAGATACCAATTTTAGCTAATTGCGGATTAAAAACAGGAATATTTTCCAATATCTGCATTCCATATTGTAGTTCTTCTTCGTTTTGAGCGTTATCACTTGATTTTTCAGAATTATCTAGCAATGAGGGTGTAGATGATGAGTTAGCTAATTCAGGTTTAATTTCTTCCTCAGAGTCATCCATATTTTCTTGATTTTTGTAAGATTCTGAATTAATTGTCGCATTATTGATACGCCATTCTTTAGGCAAACCCCATCCAAATACACTGTAACGTAGACTTCTTACTAGTTTTACAAATGCTTCTTTTGACCTTATATTATTCATGGAAGCGTAAGGTCTATGTAAATGTGGTTGATTGTCAGTCTTTAATGGTAAGAATAATAACTTCAACATTGTTAGGAACAATAGATTCATTTTATCCTGTGCAATAATAATATCCTTTGGTGGTAAATTGTTTTCATATAAAGCTGGCTTTTCATCAGTCAGAGTATTTTCGTCATATTCTTCAGGATATAAATTTAAACCAATTTCAAATTCTTGGAAAGAAATGTTTATCAATTCTGTACTAAATACGAAATGAAACTTATTAATAAAAGACATGACCTTAATAATATCACCAGCATATGGTATCAATTTACTCTTCAACTTTGAGGTGAAATCATTATTAATCAACCCATTTTCTTTTATGAATTCCTCGTTAGTCAAAGCACAATTTGGAGACCAATTTGAACTTAAAATACTTTGCTCATTAAAATCAGGTTTTAAAGTGAGTGGAATATTAAACATGAAATTTTTTTTTGAGTTATTCAATAATTTTAAGTGGGTTGCCGGTTTTAAGTCCTTGATTTTTTCAGTTTTTTTAATTATTTCAACGTTACTATTGTCATTGTCATTGTCATCGTCATCGTCACTGTCATTACCAGAATTAATAATATTGACATCATTTTCAATAGGATCTTTCTTCAATACCTTGACAACTTTTTTCGATTTTTTCATAACCTTCTCAGCCGTCTTTGACTTCTTTCTAATCCTTTTAGGCTTTTCTTGAGTTTTTACAGCTTTAATACTCTTAAAGTCGTCAAATGTCATCTGTTTCTTAGCAGGTCTTTTTCTTAGCCTGCTTTTCAACTCAGGCTGATCACCAATTCCAGGGACATCTGCATTATTCATTGCAATAATATATATCTCTTCTAGCAGTACCAATAACAGTGCTATGTAACTAAACCCAATTCTTCTTTTCTCTTAATGAATTCTTTCTACTTCAAATTAAAAAAAAAAATAATAATATTAACAATAATTCTTAGCCAAAACCTTTGCAACTAGTAAAGATACACAGTCTCAAATTCTCACCAATATTCCAGTAAGAAGAATAACTTAAATAAAAATAATAAGAAATATATATATATATAATTAGTCTTATAGTTATCCATTGATGGTGATGATAGTTTGGTTAAAGTCGTCTTTAAAATTGACAAACTTTGAAGTTAAACGCGTTAAATTAACACTGTCGTTAATAACGACTAAGCGACACGTAAAGTTAAGTATATCTATCGATCAGAGACAGGCACAACAGTATAGAAAAGGGAAGGACTGTCTGTTATCAATATATGATTGAACCAGACACAACAGATTATTCGAACAGATGAACAATAGTTGAGCCAACAGTATTTTTTAGGGTTTTGTATTATCGTTGTGGTTATAATTGGCCAATTGCTTCGCTAGACATCTTTTTTTTTTTGCTGTCATAGTTAAAGGTTGCAGTACAGGAGAGAGAAAGAGATATCGATACGTCAAGGCGCTAGCATATTACTATATTTTTCCTTAACTATGGAAGAATATTTGGGGTGAAAAGAATTCGATATTTCAAGTTCTTTATTTAAAACTTCATTAGAATTGAAAAGGAGGCCCTGAAAGATGATCAAATACGTGGATTGGAACGGCTTATCTGGCATAGATTGGGTCTATATATAACAGCTGTTTGACAACTGGTCTTTGTGATAAGGGTTTTGTCAATTAGAGAAATAGGTTCTTTTTTAGCGCTGCATCTCTCTCTCTCTCTCTCTCTGACCACCTACCCCCTTTCCCTTCACCCATCCTTTGATAGGAGCTGGTTTACTCTGCATTAGAATTGGATCTGGACATATCTATAATTGTGGATTGATATAATAACTGCGATGTTTAGGGATAGGACAAATCTGTTTTTGTCTTATCGTAGGACATTCCCACACAATACCTCGAAATATTCCACTTCCAATAGAGGTAGCAAGATAGATAGATATGAAGATTTCGACGATGAAATGTTTCCAATGATGGATGACGATACCGATGAGGGTCAAGATCGGGTAGACTTATTACCTCCTCCATTTCTAGATCTGGCCGAGGATATAGATGAATACTTACATGAAACTGACAAGTTAATGAAACAATTATCAAAATTGTACAAGAAGAATTCGTTGCCTGGATTTGAAGATAAATCCCATGATGAAAAAGAAATCGAGGAGATAAGTTTCAATGTCACTCAATTATTCCAAAAATGTTATGCTGTCATGAAAAAATTAAATTATATTTCAACAGAACAAGTATATGCAAATAAAAGACTAAAATACGATGAACTAATAATCCTGGGCAATTTGGAGAAAAGATATGCTCAATTAATCCAGTTTAAAAGTAATCAATTTAGGGTTCTCCAAAATAATTATTTGAAATTTTTAAATAAAGATGATATGAAGCCAATTTTACCGAAGTTGGATAACTCAAATAATACTATGAGCGATACTTTAATGCTTGAAGAAGATGAAGCCATGGGTAATAGTAAAGAAATCGAAGCATATTCTAGGCAAACGTTACAAAACCAAAACAAAAATGATATGAACCAAAGATATCTACAAGAAAGAGATGAAGAAATAACACAACTAGCAAAAGGTGTTTTGGAAGTAAGTACCATCTTTAGAGAAATGCAGAATCTTATCATTGACCAAGGTACGATAGTAGATAGAATCGATTATAACTTGGAAAATACAGTTATCCACTTGAAGGAAGCAGATAAAGAACTTACTCATGCGACTCATTATCAAAAGAGAACTCAAAAATGTAAAATTATTTTATTATTATCACTATGTGTCATGGCGTTATTTTTCTTTGTGATGCTAAAGCCACATGGCGGTACTACAAAATATGAAACTGTCACTGTAACTGCAGCTCCGGCAGTCTCTTCCACAACTTCCCAACCAACTGCAACCACCGTGCCTGTCCAAGATGAGGGCCTGGATAATAATGATAATGAAAAGCAAGATGATGAGAAAGGTACTGATATAGTAAATGAAGACGGCAGCCCACTTGAGGTCAGCCCAGCAGATTCTGTTCCAAATGATGTTGACATCATAGAGCCTCCAAATGAGCCGGAACTAAATAGGCATTTACTTTAATACGATTCATAAACAATATTTATGTAACAGAATAGTAAAATATATATAGAATTTTTTTTTATCTTTTGCATAGTGTAAATATTTAAAATTAAATGTGTATCCTTAAACTTAAACCGAATATTTATTAAACAATGAGACCCTAAATACTACAAAAAAGTGTAGAATTCAATAAAAAATTCCAGATGAAATGCAAAATTAGTTGTACAATTATAATTATCTGAAATTATATGCATTATCCATAGCGCTTGCATTAGGAATATTATTTCTTCCTTGCATTTTTTTATATGCTGGTTGATACCTATTTGAAGTAACCTGACGACCATTTGGCATCATTTGCTGAGGTGGATAATTATTATTATACTGAGGTTTTGCACGAGGTTGAAATTGCTGTTGTGGATAGTAATTTTGTTGTGGCATTTGCTGATATTGGTTATGATAATTATTTGGCATAGCCCTTTGCATATTTCTTTGATTATTGTACATTGGCGCATTTCCATTATTATATTGATTATAACTCATATTCTGAGGTTGATGATTATTGTATCTAGGTTGTGATTGATTAACGTTTCTCATTTGTGAATTTGGATATTGCATTTGATTTCTATTATTGTTGAAATTTTGTTGAGGTTGTTGAGGTTGTTGAGGTTGTTGTTGAGGTTGATGATGCATTGCAGCTTGTTGGAAATATGGATTGACACCACGTTGTGAAACAGAAGTTAAGCCAGAATCGCTTGCATTATCATTTGAACCAAATATTTCACGATTATCAGATTCCTTGACAAGATTGGCAAGGAACCTTTCTTTATCTGAATATGAGGATGATGAGGTTGATGACAATGACGGAATTTTCTTTTCATGAGAATGAATAGAGTTCTGCTTAACTGGCAACCTCTGACTATCAATAGCAGAATAAGCAGTTTCAGATTTTTCTAAACCATTTCCCAATTCATCTGTATTAGCATTACTGTTATTTTTATAGATTTTTTCATCCACATTAGAAGTCGCTATAGTAGATGATGAATCGACGTGTGATCCATTTTGAGGATTACTGAATGGCGATATTTCAATTGGCTCATCAATACCTTTAGAGATATCGCCATATTGCTTCTTCATCATATCATCTTCATCCAAGATTCTTACAATTTCTCTATCTTCACCATCGATTGATGAATCATCATTGTAGCTTGGCGATGTGCTGTATGAATGAGCGAAGAAGATTAATGGGATGGAAACTAATGGTAAAGCGGCTGCAGGAATCAATATCCATGAACACCATGTTACGTTTGGGTAAAACAGTAAAAATACTACGATACATATCAAAGTAGCTGCAAGGAATCCAATTCCTGCGACAAACAAATGCAGTATAAATATGACACTGGCGGAAGCCAATTCACTGGACATAAAGCTCATTATAACCATGAATAAAGAGAATAAAAACGAAAAAAAATTCAAACCAGCAGCAATTGGTGTTACAATTAAAATTTTCCCCAATGAATCTCTTGCCTTTGACGATAATTTCCAATTTGTATTATCGCTGTCATTTTGTAAAGTATATGGATCATAAGACGCAGAAGCCTTTGAACATGTATCTGCTGAAGTATCACAGTAACCGAACACACCATAAGTAATGTTATTATATTTGGATAAACCAATCTGTTTAAATACTGGAGCTGTTACACAGCATATAATTAGGAATGCCATTGAAGTAAATTGCATCGTTGATATTATGGAAAACCATAATGTCGATGCAGTTTTATTTGCCATATTTATCTGTTATTTTCAAATAAAATATAGTTGACAGTAATTAAAACAATAGTAACGCGTTCCTTTAGCTAAGTTAAGTTATATTTGATGATTTTGAGTATGATTAGTGTTGCTCTTACAAGAGTCAAGAAATATATGTATATATTATAAAAAATAAAATATTAAAGTAATAAATTCTTCAATATATATAATTTCTTTAATCATTCATTAATCCAAGTGAATGCATCCCCCCGCAAGTACTTTTAAAATGCAACATCGATCCAGATAGACACTTACTCACTCACATATATATATATACTTCTAAATAAATATAGAAATTGCAAAAATGAATCATTCAATTAATGCAAGGTATTCTTCGAGTTATACCCAATTGCTGTGGATATGTAACAAGATAAAATTCTAACTTGCTATATTTCCAATACCATAAAAGTAAAATAAATTAAATGGGTGTGACACGATAATAGACAAGTATTAGAGCAACAGAAGAATTGCTATGCACTAATCACTCTTATCAATCAAAAACAACAATAACAGTAAGTTTAACATACTTGGTTGCTCTTTACACTACCTCATGTTAATTTTAAATTTGGCGTGGCTGGCACAACTACATACTTTGATATTTTTCGTGATTTCTATTAAAAGCAGCAAATTTGGTGTAATTTTTTTTGTCCTGTCCCAATACTCTCAAGTACAAAAAGAAACGGAAAATAAGATGGGAAGTTTAAACATTTCGAAAAAAGTTCTAAGAAAGTATTGTAGAAGTTTGCATAGTTTCAAAACTGTTTTCTGATTTATACTATAAGATCAAGACAAGGTCATGTTGACAAGACAAATTGAGTTATCAGAAGGGAACGTTTCTCAAGCTTCATGGCAACTTTATAACCATGCCTGATTGAATTGTGGCAGTTTAGTATTTTATGAGAAGATAAGTGCTATCAATTCGCATTCCTAGACTCCTTGTAAGCATTGCCTAACTTGTACAGAAGTTTGCAAATATCGTTAGTGAAAACATTTCATGTCTTTGCCGGGTATAATTGTGAGGCTAGGTATTAGTTATTAACTGTAATGTTCATATGTAGTTATTATAATGTGCTTGGTTATTGTTTGATTTTAGAAAACTTGGTATAAGGGCCAGCAAATGGATGTTGGAGAGAACTATGAGATCAGAAGAAATATTACTATTCTACTTTGAGAATAACTCAGCCCAGGTGGTCAGGCTAGATATGTTAAACTTCAATCTTACAAAATATATGGGAAACTTGAAGAGTTTATGCGTCAATCAATTTACCGTACGTTTATATTCTATCGTTTCCCTGCTACAAATTGTATCTTCAGATATTTTGTTGCATTTTATTCTTGACCCATATATCTGGTTGCAGACACAAGACTATTACTGGTATTTTATTTCAATTTTTGTGGAGAAAGATAGCAGATGTTTTATTACTGTTTGAATATTAAACAGATAAACAATCAGGCGGAGACCGATTGATTGAATTGATCGATCGATCGATCGATGCAAGGAAATTAAATAAAATGCATTTACTCGTGGATATCAGTTATTTACGCAATCCAGCTTGGATTTGATCACACTACCGCACAGTTGTTCACTTGCATAAACTTAAATATGAGATTAATTTCTTGAATCAAACAATACCCAATGTTAGCATGATCCGCAGAAACGTTGACCCTACTCAATGAATATTTTGTTGAGTTAGATGTAAAGGTGGTTGGCTATTTTTTTTTCCATAAGCGTTTCTTAAATTAGCATCATAGTTTCAGTGTTTATAAATAGTATATCAAGTCTTTTCAGCGTCCACCCAAATAGTTTAAGATTAGAATAAGTAAAAAGTAAAAAAAAACCTCTCCCGGGGGCGAGTCGAACGCCCGATCTCAAGATTACTTTGTTGAAACATTACAGTCTTGCGCCTTAAACCAACTTGGCTACCGAGAGGAAATAATTTATTTCTTTTGTCGTAATGAATTAGGACATGATTGTGAATAGTCGGAACTAGTGTTGTATTGATTACGCTTAAGTACAAAATGATAAAATAAGGACAGAGGACTTTGTCATGTTTCATGATAAGAATGTCACTAATAGAACGCGAATACAACGTATATAAGGGACATAGTTGTCAGAATTA